CCGCCGCTTCCACGCGGGCCGGGGCCGCAATGGCAATGGCAGCGTATGCTGTTCCCGGCGGGGGCCGGCACGTGGGATTTCAGCGTTGTCCCAAGTAACGCCTCGATATAGCCATGGGCCTTCTCTGGACATGGCCGAGCAGCCGAGATGCCTTGCTTTTCAGCTTGCCTTTAGGGGAAAGTCACAGCTTGGTTTTCAGTTCCTGTCTTACAAAGCTTTCACGTTACACTGCACGACTTCCTGACTTATCAGAAGTGTGTGTGTGTGTGTGGGGGGAGGCAGGAGTAGCATCTGTGGGTGAACATCTTGATAGTTGGCTGACTTGTACACTTAATAGCCTGAGAAACACCATTTAATGAGATATTCCCCAAGTCAGGTTTAGCTACTGGGCCTGTCATATTTTTTCACTCCATCTCGAACAAGAAAGCTGTGGTTATTTTGCAGGAACGCACACCGTTCCTGTGGCTAACAACAAGCTACGGTTCACAGTGGACAAATGCAGTTTTCTTATGCGCTTATACATTTTTGCTGTTTCTCTTTCGTAGTTTTCAATTGATCCTGTCTGATTGCTGTTTAGAAATGCACTGTGAAGTGCTTTATATTAGTATATAGTTTACAATGTAAATGTTTTTTTTCCTTCAGTAGAGCAACCATTTCTGAGTGTGAGGCAGTTGTGGCACCGAGGGAGCAGGCACCATGAGCAAAGCACACCCGCCTGAGCTCAAGAAGTGAGTGGAGGATGGGAGCGGGGTGGAAGAGAATTCAGTATTCTTGCATCCCCCTGCATCCTGGCATGCACCTTGTTCTGGCCTGTGGCTCCTGCCCACCAAGGCTTCCCCACCCCACATGGTCCCCCCAGCCCTGCTGAGCATGTGGTTCCCCTCCCATGTGGCTCTATGTACTGGGGTCCTGCTCTCCCTCCACCCCTCACCTTTCCTTTGCTAGGGGAAGCCAGGCCCCCAGTAGCTGTTGGGATAACAGCAGGGCAGCTGGGGCTTCAAGCCTCCTGGGTTCATGGTGTGGAGGGAGGGGGTAACTGGTGGCAGGGTCTGGGAGAGAGGGGGTGTCTGGTGGAATATGTTGTCTGGGGAGTGGGGTACACCAAAGGGAGGCAAAATGGAGCCAGGGCAGAGCTACGATCTGTAGCCTGCATACTCTGGGCAGGGGTGTGCAGGCTAGGGATCGTGGCTCTGCCCTGTCTCCAGAGCAAGCTACCACCATGGCAAGATCCTAGTGGCTCTGGGACAGCTCCCTGCCCTGCTTTGCCACGAGCCCTGCCAGCGTGGCTGTGGCTGGTCTCCCTGGAGACTGTCCCCAACCATGCTGGGAAATGGAGTCTGCTGCTGACTGGATCTGGCCTGCGGGCCAGACTTTGCCCATCCTTGCCCTAGACTGTGCAGGGAACAGGGGTCGGTTGCCTGCCCTGGGTCAGTGCCCCAAACTAGGAATGACCCCTTGGCAGTGTGAAGAAATTGTGGCCCCTCTGGAGGGTTACAAGCCAGGGCAAAGGGGATGGAGTGAGCTCATGGGTGTCTCCTGGTCTAGCGCAGAGGGTATCAGGCTCTTCCCATGTCTTGGGCTCAGAGATGTCCCTTGTGGGGAGGGGTGAATTGGGGCAACTGCCCCAGACCCCACGCTTTGGGGGGCCCTGTGGACAGAGCCGTTGACACATGCCGAGGGTGCAGCCACTCCACGCACCACCGGCTTTACGCTCCGGCCACTTACCACCCCCCCCCCCATACACAGGCCCTGCCCAGGCTCTGCCTGGGCTGGGTGCAGAGGGCAGAAGCAGTGGCCAGTGGAGGCTCCAGAGCGAGCAGCCAAGGGACCAACTGGGCTGTGTTGGTGCAGCCCCTGCTCGCTTCTCTGCAGCTCCCGTTGGTGACACCCCTGATCTAGAGTAATTTTTTTCAGTCCAGATCTGTGAATAACAGCTGATGGCATTTTCTCTGTTTTTTTCATTGCAGGTTCATGGACAAAAAACTGTCACGTGAGTTATTTCTATCACTTCTGAGGTCCTGCTTTTTAGATGTCTGTGTAGCAATGCTTTGCATGTTGGTTCCAGTCAGCAGCCTTCCCTGGGTGCTGTCTTCCCATGGGAGTTGCATGGGAATGTACTGTGCTGTGAGAGAGAGCTAACAGAAGTGAGGGTCTTTGAGGATGTGGTCCTATTGCTGTATTGCTCATTACTGTAAAAGACACAGGCAAATACAGAATAAAAAGACAGTCTCTCTCCATAGTGTTCCTAATCTAAGTGGAGGAATGAAAGGCAGTGGTGCCATAAATCTGGTCAGCATGAAAAAGGGGTGACTTGATTCCTGCATTTTGAAGAGTATCATGATTGAATTAGCAGTTCAGAGTTTGCTAATGTTGGCTGCCTTTCTGAAAATGATGCTGCATTTCAGTACATGAAGTTGTAGGGTGGCAAAATGCTTCCTGTTATTGGCGATTCTTTGCTTCTACAGAGTGGTGAAGCTTTTAAATTTTTTTTCAAGCTACAATGACTTCAGCAGTATTTTGTGCTTCAGTTGCAAAGCTAACATTTCCATCCAAAAAGCCATGCAACTGTCTGCCACTGTGTGTTGTGTCTTGTGTTTTAACATGCTATTTATTTTAGTGAAGTTAAATGGTGGCCGACACGTCCAGGGGATATTGCGGGGGTTCGATCCCTTCATGAACCTCGTTATAGATGAATGTGTGGAGATGGCACAAGGTGGACAGCAGAACAACATTGGGATGGTGGTAAGTGGAGAGCTCTAAACCCGTGGGGTGGCATGGATTGAAACCCTTTAGAGAGGGATTTCTTTCTATAGGCCTTGTGGTGTCTTGAGATTCACCTGAACCAGCTGAATTGTAAGCAGTTAGACACTTCCCACTATGGATGGGGCTCTTGGTGTTCATTTTCTAGAAGAGCTAACTTTCAGCTTTGTTTCTCTAGAAATATCCACCTCCCAGCATTTCTCAGCTGAAATGACTTTCTCATGTCGTTAAATACCACTGATCTGTATCTGTTTTCTTAAGTTCTGCTAAACCTTGTGGATGGTTGCAAATTCCTCATCTTTTCAAATGTCTTATTTCTGGGTAATACAAGGAAACAGTATCATCGTGTTAGAAGTCTTGGAACAAGTCTAGATTAACCTGTGAAGAATCCTGCCTAGCACTTAGCCACTGCTGGAGCATGGAAATAGCTCACAATATGAGTGGGCAGGTGACCACACAGAGTTGGATATGCTTTAGAAGTGTGAAAGTTATATAAAAATGTGTGTTTAAGTTGTGTGGGGTTTTTGGGGAGAGTGGTTGTAGTATGTGGCATCCTTTGGTCTGTGAGAGATGGTGGAAATTGCAGCCTGTCACAGGTGGTTTGCAATGTCTCATGTGACTGAATAGTCCAATCCAAGATTTTCATAATCTGTGGCAATGGTTGCAAATGTATCTGTCATGGTTGGGTAGTTTGGGATCTGCTTGGCCAGTTGGATCCATCACGGGATTGGCCCATGCAGGGAGCGGCTGACATGGCTTATCTCTCACACTTTTGGAATCGAAAATAGTTTTCCCACTGCTGCCGCCCCCCGCCCCGTGTTTAAGCATCACCCCAGTATGTGTACCTGCTTCAATGTTAATTGATATCAATTGGATTTACTCTATTTTAAAATCAGTTCTTAAAATTGCTTTTAATTGAGTTTAGACATGATTTTAATCTAGTTCAGACCTGATTTCCATTCTCCTTTAGTTAGTCTGCTGAAAGTGGTGGCAGCCTTTCTGATGCAAACATTAAGTTCTTTTTCCAGTGAGAGGTTAGCAGTCACTGTAGAACCTAGGTAGCTGAACTTTTGGGTGACTTCTAGCTGGTCCTCTTTAAGGGTGACTGGATGTTGTGGAAATCCCTGTCCTAGTACAGCTATTTTCTTTATGCTGATGGGCTGTTCTAAACCCACACACTGCCTCTCCCACCCAAACCAGGGCCGTCTGTGGAGCTGCCTCAGCCACAGGCTGCTGCGTGTGCTGGGGATGTGCTGGGCAGAGTTAGGGGCCGACTGATGACGTGGACCCAGCTCCGCTGCCTGCAACGAGCCCCTGGGATGTGCTGCACCCCAGCCTCCCCCCGGGCAGTCCCCAAGCCTGGCCCTAGGGATCTCTGTCCCCAGAGATCACAGCCTCTTCCCTGCACCCTGTGAGTGTGGTGCCTGCCCACCCTGTACCTATCCTGCAGGGAGGGGGGGCCTGCCCAGCACCTGGATCTCTCTTATTCTTTCACTCATCACAAACAATAGGACTCTGGTTATTTTGCAGTGTCTTTGAAGAATGGACAGAATTGCTGTGGCTAACTACAAGCTACAATTTACAGTGGACAAAAGTTGTAGTTTCCTTATCTACTTTTATACATTTTTGCTCTTTTACATTTGTAGTTTTCAATTGATCTTGTGTGATCATTGTTTACAAATGCAGTTTAAAGTGCATCTTTCCGCAGGCCTAGTGGTGTCTTGGTGAGATTCACCTGAACCAGCTAAATTGTAGTGATTAGACACTTCCCTCTATGGTGAGTGCTGCTGCTGTTCATTTTCTAGAAGAGCTAACTTTCAGCCAAGTTTCTGCAGAAATACCCACCTCCAAGCATTTCTTAGCTGAAATGTCTTCCTTGTGTTGTTAAATACCACTGATCTATATCGGTTTTCTTAAGCTGTAGTAAACCTTGGTGGTGATTGCAGATTCCTCATCTTCTTGCATGTCTTTTTAAGTTGGTAGCATTGTAACCAGTTTCTGTAGTCAGACTGTACTTAACTGGGAACTGGGTTAAAATGACATGAAGAATGTGCATATCCTGTGAATCTTACAGAGTGATAGCTGGCTATCTTGAACAGAGAATTAGAACAAAGAATTAGAGGTTAAACTAGTTGTGCAGAGATGTGCTACTTGGGATGGAAGGGAATGTTTCTAGTGTTGTATTGGGCTTGATAAGACGCAGATGTTTACAATTCCAAAGCAAAAATGGTTTCTTTCATCTTCTAGTTTCTCTTCTAGTATGTATCTAAGTCAGGGGTGGGCAAAATATGGCCCACGAGGCCATTCTATCTGGCCCACGGGGCCCCTAAAAAAAAAAATTTGGAAAACTAATATTTCTCTGCCCTTGGTTCCTGTCAAAAATGACAGGAACCAAGGGCAGTAGGACCCAGGAGAAGCCCAGCGGGCTCCAACAACAGTGGGGCCGCCTGGCCCCGCTCCCCAGCCAGAAACCCTAGCCCATGCGGGCTGTGAGCGCCTGCAGCATAGGGCACCAGGCGTGGGACGGGGGAGGGCTGCCCCCCCAGCTTTTCCCCAGGCTTCTTCCCTGCGCAGAGAAAAGCGGCCCCTTGCCTGCCCCATGGCTGGTGCTCCCTGCTGCAGGCGCTCGCAGCCCGCG